AAGCGAGGACGGACAGACGGACAGACAGACATGGCGAAGCTATAAGGGTTCCTAGTTGACTACGGAACCCTAAAAATGACCAAAATATTATTAAGATAAAAAAGGAAATCTGTTCCTTTACGGGATATTGATTTTAATGATAACACTGTCCACATCCAAAACATGACTTAAATCAAAGTCTTTCAGACAAATTTTGGAAGGACAGTAATTGCTAGAGGGCAATAAATTTATTTATTTAAATAAATATCTATTGTGTGGTGGTTGTGTAAGATAATTCATTACTTCATTTCGTCTCGTAGGTAATTTTTTTTATGAAATAGTGTTACAAACGAGCACGCAGTCCACCTGATGGTAAGTGGATGATGTAGTCCATAGACATCTACATTTATCCTCGATTAATAATCGAAATGCAAATGCGTTGTCACTGGACTAATATGAAATGCCCCGTTTCCTATAAAAAAGTGGTTTTAGATGTTACAATGGGAAGTTATACAGTGATAGAAAATACTGGGAGATCTTGGTTTTCTTGTATGATATTCTTCTTTATCGTTTATTGCTTTACGTTTTTTTTTGAGAAACGTATCCCTTAGACTAGCATTTACGCCCTAATTGTGAAATTGATTTACATAACTGCATAAATTGTATAATTACATATGGAAAAACATTAAAACACTGATTAATAATTTGTAGGCGTACAAACACATGCTCCGTGCAGGATTCGAACCCGTAGCTCAACAGCGTTACTATGCCGTTAATTACACTCTAGATTACGGTGTGAGGTGAAAACTGATATGGTAGACCTCTAAGCTCCGTAGCATGTAATATTAAATGTGGGTCACTGTTGGTCCACGTTCGCTATTCATTTTTTATTGTAAATATTTTACTTCAGCTCTTTTTATTCCCTTCTTCTTTATATGCCTGTCATAGGCCACTGCTGGCTATAGACTCAATGTAGAAAAGATTATATATATATATATATATATATATATATATATATATATATATATATATATATATATATATATAATATAGATTCAATGTAGAAAAGATTTAGATATACAAATTCATGGCTTCCTTCTCTTACTTAGGCTGAATTCGATCATTTAGTGTATCGTATCTCCGTCTTGTGGCGCCTACGTGATTATCTATATAACTTCCGTTCTGCATAAACGTCCTATCTTTTGATACACAGGCCTGGTTTTCATTTTGAGAAATGACAAGTGCGAGTGGCAAGTGCAACAGACAAATAACAAGTGCGTGTGAACAGGCAGTGACAAGTGACAAGTGTGAATATAATTCGCACTAAGCACTCGTCAAATGTAAGTTGCACTTGCCACTCGCACTTGACACATCTCAAAAGGTAAACCGGGCCTTAGTACCGGACACATGTATCGTGATCGGTAGTATTTTAAAAACTTTTACACTCACCCACAATAGAATTTTATCAAAGATAATTCAGTTTAAATACATAAATTGCACAAGGACAAACGGACAATAATTATTTGTAGACCATACAAACACACGTTAAGTGCGGGATTCGAACCCACCCCGAGGCCCTCAGCGCCGCAACTAATTGCAAAACCATTGCCGTCAAGCCGTTGAAGTACGGACGTATTTTGATACTATATCACAATACGATTATGTCAATTTTTTAACTTTTCTTCTTCTATAGTTTATTGTATTAATATAAAGAGTACACAATAGATTTGTTAAAATTGGAGCAGGGAGGAGAGGAGTCGTATGGGTGGGACGCAACCACCTATGCGACACTAGCGCCATCTGCCGGACAGTCATCATCCGCGCCAATCACCAACCCGTCAGGCCTACTATTGGACGATGGCCAAAGGCCATCGACAACTTATGCCCAACTGGCAGCTGCCCCAGCAGTACCCAGGACCCAGGTAGTGTGTACTGGAATGGTGCGCCAACTGTTCGGCTAGGTCAAGTGAAATTCGTTTATTACAAAAATAATAATTAGAATGGTATTTCTAAAATAGTCACGTTCGTAACTAAGGTGAGGAAGGTAATAAAAAGTTGTCCTCTGAAGTAAAACCTAATACTAAATCTAAAATGTATATTTAAAGTCACGTTATAAGTCGTTTTTATGTTCCAAGTATAGTGTGTGGATACCCAAGTGGATACCCAACGTGACAAAGTCACGATGATTTTTCACTGTGATTTTTTGTAACTGGAAAGATGGTCACTGTTATTTAAAAATTACACTTTCCAACAAGTATAGTCGCCTCTTATGATATCCACGGGATGATATGGATATTCATTCGGTTTTTATTAGGTATGGGTTTACATTACACGGTAATGGATAATTTCTAAAAACATTTTATTTATCAACGTCTGATTGCAAGACGTTGATAAATAAAATGTTTTTTCGTTTCTCTAGCACTCATTTGACCTTCATACAAATAATTCGATAATTTAATTGTTGATAATTTTTATTTCTGGATAAGTACATGGTAATGACTAAGTTACATTTACCTTCGCTTAAAATATTGTCATTGGCCTAACTTAATACACTCTTTGACTTGAAGACGTGAGTGATTAAAGGGCTTGTAAGCGCCTGCAGCTGACGCTAGCAGAGTATTCTTAAATGACATTATAAAACATTGTAGTTTAATACTTTCTGGTAACGTTAATCCCGGTTTCATTTCTTACATTTATATGACAAGATTATATGCCGCCAAAAAAAAAACAATCCGGTAATAATAAACGGTATCCGTCCTATATAGCCTTTGATTAAACTACCAAATTATCTTGCAGTTCAAAATGTATCAATATGATTGGCAATGTTACAATCAAAACACTAAGTTGTTATACGAAGACCAAGTCATAGATTCTGCTTTAAATATTCAGAAGGTTTGCCAGCTCTATTCCGTTTTGGTATTTAACCCATTTTTTTTTTTTCAAAATTTAAATTTTAAATGAATGTATGGTACCTGGAGAACGATACACTGGGTGTGCAGTGTACGTCCTCAGCGATCTTGCCATGTCAAAGTTTTATAATTTTTTTTTCATAGGATAGGGTGACAAACGAGCACACAGTCCACCTGATGATAAGTGGTTGATGTGGCGCATAGGCATCTACGTCTATTCTCGATTTCGAAACTAAATGCAGATGCATTGTCACCCGTGAGGACTGACATGAAATGCCTCGTTTCCAATGAAAAGGATCTCCGGTTCTCTACACTCACCACATGAAACACTTTTTACGCTGGTATTCTGCGAGAGCATAGTCCTTCCCCAGTAGAGCCGACATATTCGTGCTATAACAATACTACTAATATAAGTGCAGCATGGCTCTACCACGTATAAATATTGATCTCTATTGAACCAAATAGCAATAAATGTGAAATATTAATTTCCAACAGTTTTTGTAGTTCTAACAGAGATATTTTAATCCAAATTTTCCATCATATTTCTACAGGCATAAAACTTGTCAGCTTTTACACATGCTGGGTGCCCCGTAATTTTTTAATAGTAATAAACTTTTTTTAAGACTAGATATGGAGGGCATGAGCGGTTTGACGTAAAGCTGTGCCTCGGACACGCGCACGGCGCGCGAGTCTTGGGCAACTGGTCCGACGCGAGAGCGATCGCGTTTAACGCTTTTAAGAGCGTCCATTGCCGGACGCCAAACTACTGGTCGATAGGGTCAAAACACAAAATTCTTGTAGTGGAATAGATAAAGTAAGATAATGACAAACAGCGATCCATTTTGGTATGTCCATTTCCCCCGGCCTTGAAACCTTCAAAACAATTGAAAACAGTTAAAATTGTGGTTGAGAATAAAAGGATCAGGAGGAATAAAAAGATTCAGAGGAAGACTCAGTATCAATCAGAAATCAAGTGTTTTGTATGTTAAATCTCCCACACTTTTATTTTAATAACATCCCTTGATCAAACGGATTTGATAATGTAAATTAATATAACAAGATTATAACGAAGTTAATTTATTATAAGTATAATAGAATACATTGCAAAATACTGTATTGAGTCGAGGGGAAATAATACAATTTTATTTAATATTGTTTACTTACATGAATGTTTAATAATTTTCAATTTCCATAAGTGTTTCTTCATGTAAACTGATGGTGGAAGATGATGGAATACAGGCAAACAGGCAAACATAACTAGTAAAAAAAAACAAGTCTCGCAACTCATATCTTCTACCGTAAAAAGTTGTTAGATCCATGTAATAACAAGTCGGTTAATAAAAGCTACTTTTACGGATTTTATCGCGTAATCCGTAAAAGTAGTTTAAATCAATGTGTAGTGTTCGCGTAAATATAAGAATTCATTAACTAAGTCGGTTAATTTATTCAGTCCCTACATAAGGGTCTTTCAGTTTTAAGTTATTACGTGACTAACTAACCTAACAACATCTTATAGTGACCATATCAATGATAAAAATCTTTAATGTTTTAAATAAATAGATTGAAAAATGGTGGCCACGTTTGTCTCCAAAACCGGCCATGTTACGATTATTCCTCTTGAGGGACAAAGAACGGTTAATGCAGAACGGTATGCTAGTGTGGCGTAGCCACATAAATATATGTCAAAAATTAAAAAGATAGTTCTGACTGACAACTGTCATAAGCGATATTCACTTCGTTTCCTTAAAGTAGTTGCTAAATGAGTAAAAAAACCTAAATTCTTACAAAACTTGTGTTAGCCTTCTACTTAACGATTTGTGTGTTGTTATAAACTGTATTGTGATAGTAAATGTACTGTTAGTGTGAACTTTAAATGCGTTTGTATTCTGTCCGAAATCTGTGTATTCTTTCTCTTGTTAATTTATGAACATTTATTATTATAATAAATAAACTCTAATTTGCGTATATTGTGAATTGTGCAGCTGTATGAAAGGGAAATAAACATTATAACAGTGAAAAGTGAGTATAATTTTATCACCAATTTCACTACACTGGTGACCCCGGAAGTTTGGACACTAAATAAAATAGTTATATAAAAGCTCATTAATAACAATGGCAAAAACCAACGACACTAATAAAGCAGGAGAAAGTAGCGCATATGGGGTGGAGTCATTTACACCTTCCGACATTTGTCGCGTCGGAGTACGTCTGCCCCCGTTTTGGCCAGAAGAACCAGGCGTATGGTTCGCCCAAATAGAAGGCAATTTTGCATTCTCTGGAATAAAGGATGATGACACCAAATACCTTTATGTCATTTCACAACTGGACCATCGCTACGCAGCTGAAGTGAAGGACATTATCGTGTCACCGCCAGAAAAGGGCAAATACGAGAAATTAAAGACCGAACTGATTAAAAGATAGTCAGCATCAAGAGAAAAGGAAGTAAAGCAACTACTGATGCACGAGGAGCTTGGTGATCGCCGCCCCTCACAATTTCTGAGGCATCTGCAACACTTAGCAGGTCCTAATGTTCCTGATGATTTTATTAGAACAATTTGGTCTAGTAGGTTGCCAAATAACCTACAGACTGTCATAGCGTCACAACCAGACTCAACGCTGAAAGCACTTGCAGACTTGGCAGATAAAGTTCACGACCTCGTACCTACTGTGCCACAAGTCGTGTCAACAAACGCAATATCGGTTGCTGTGACAGACAAAATAACTCAACAAATAGCTGAACTCACTCGTCAGGTTCAAGCCCTATCAGTTCGGGACAGCAGGAGTAGATCCCGTTCAAGGAACCGTTACAGTCGCATCCAACGCAAAAACAGTAGGTCTCGTCGGTCTCAATACAATTATAAAAAAAATCCCATTTGTTTCTGTCACCACAAGTACGGCGACAAAGCAAAAGTATGCCTTAATCCATGCGACTATAAACAGGGAAACTCTCAAGGCAGTCGTTAATGGCGACAGACGATTGCCTTAGTTTATCCGGTCGCCTGTTTGTTTCGGATCGACGATCAAAAGTGCAATTCTTAGTCGACACAGATAGCGACATCTGCATTTTTCCTCGCGCTGCAACAAAGCAGAGACGACCGCAAACTACGTATGAACTTTTTTCTGCCAACGGAACGCCGATATCTACGTCTGGGTTCGTACACTTTAATTTAGACTTAGGTCTCCGGCGCGATCTCAGCTGGCGATTTGTAGTCGCTGATGTAAATAAGGCCATAATAGGTGTTGATTTTTTATCATTCTACCACATAATTATTGACTGCCGGAATCGACGTCTCATCGATAGCAGTACAAATTTATCAGCTTCTGCCACATCAGCTCTTTCGTCAAACGCCATATCATCGGTAAAAACGATTTCCGGTGAATCTAAGTATCACAATCTTTTGCGCAACTTCCCTGATATAACTCGCCCTTCAGGCACGCACAAAGTTCCTACTCATAATACTCTCCATTATATTAGGACCTTGATTCCTGTCGCCCCATTAGTATCGCTCCGGCTTTTGAAGGGAGAAGTTGTGTCGCTTACGATCAGAAAACACATTACGCAACAGGAAGACGTAAAATTAAAATGGGAAATAACCGTTATAAAAATAAGAAGCGACTGGGTTGGCGTTAAGAAACAGGCATAAATATGATAAACCTAATGAAATAAGTATCTAACGACCTATCTACTTAGAGTATTAGTGATTACAAACATGTCGGTACATAGCATACGACGCGCGGGGAAGTGGGGGCGAAATTAGAATTTGAGCTGACTTACTCTAACCTCTTAATGAGCACACATAGTTTAGTTACTATACACTTTAAAAGAATTATGGGTATCAAAACCTCGATGTTTGATAAAAGTTTCTTTGTGTGAACCCACATAAGAATGGACGGATAATGCATATAAATCAATTTCAAAAGCGAATCGACACTCAAAAATATCACAGACTTAAGAAACTAACAAGAAATAAAACAGAGAACGTTAAATAAAAGCGCTTAACAATTACGAAACAAAGTACTATATGGATTTATAGACTGTGGTACTAGTATGAATCGTCTCATGTGAATCTCACTGTATAAGTAATAAATGTTACGATTATATGAGACCTAAGCAGACCTTGAGCAAGGATCGTTATGTTAGGAATTCCGTTAACTAAGCGCTCGACTTTGCAAATCGACCTAATATAATGGAGGACCAAGGAATATCCAGGACCTCCAGTTTCTTGTGCACCAAGGCGATTGGCTCCTGACAAATTGAAAATAGCCAAGGCAGAATTTGAAGCTATGCTCAAAAATGGAACAGCAAGGCCTTCAGAGAGTCCATGGTCATCTCAACTACATCCGGCACCCAAAAAGGATAACGGGTGGAGACCATGTGGCGATTACCGGCTATTAAATGCACGCACGATACTCGATAGGTATTCTATACGTAATATACAGGACTTTACGTACAATATATCAGGATGCAAAATATTTTCAACCCTTGATTTAGTGAAAGCATATAATCAAATACCGGTAAATCCAGAAGATATCTCGAAAACGGCTATAACGACGCCCTTCGGATTGTATGAGTTCCCGTATATGACGTTTGGCCTCCGCAACGCGAGCCAAACGTTTCATGGTTTGAGGTTCATGGATGAAGTGACGAGAGGACTCGATTTTTGTTACTCCTATTTGGATGATTTTTGAATTTTTTTTGAAAGATGAACAAACACACCTTAAACATCTTCATCAAATTTTTACAAAATTACAAGACTATGAATGAATATATATATGAATGGTAATAAACACGTCCAAATGTGTATTTGGAGCCTCCACTGTAACATTCTTAGGCTACACCGTTTCACCCGAAGGCGTAAAACCCTTGGCCTCAAAAGTACAAGCTATCAAAGATTTTCCAGTGCCAAAGAACTTGAAAGAATTAAGAAGATTCCTGGGAATGTTAAATTTCTATCGCAGATTTGTCCCAGGAGCAGCAGAAACTCAAGCTCCATTAAATTCACTCCTAACAGGTGTTCCTAACAGGTGGGCTCACATCCAGTTAATATTACGGGTGACGCACTAATAGCATTTGAAAAATGCAAAGAAAAACTAGGAGTAGTAACAGACGCTTCAGATATAGCAATTGGAGGAGTTCTGCAGCAATTTAAAAATGGTGAATGGCAGCCTCTGTCCTTCTTTTCTCGCAAATTCGGTCCTTCAGAGAGAAAATATTCTCCGTACGACCGAGAATTATTAGCGATCTATGAAAATATAAAATATTTTCGACATATGCTCGAGGCCAAACATTTCACCATATTTACTGATCACAAAACAATATGCTACGCATTTCAACGTCGAAAAGAAAATTGTTCACCACGGCAATTTCGCTATTTAGATAACATATCCCAATTCACCACGGACATACAACATATTTCTGGAAAAGAAAATGGCGTAGCTGACACTCTTTCACGAATAGAGGAATTATCTAAGCCTGTCGACTTAAGCACACTCGCAAAAGCGCAGTTAGAAGATTCTGAGCTAGAAAATTTAATAAATGATGAAACATCGCTTGAACTAATTAAGGTTAAAATACCGGGTACACTAGAAGAACTATACTGCGACAATAAATTGCAGGTAGTACGCCCTTATGTGCCCAAAAAACTTCGACGGCAAATTTATGCAACACTGCATTCACTGAGTCACCCAGGCGCTAATGCTACCACAAAATTAGTAGCACAGCCTTACGTTTGGCCCGGTATAAACAAAGACTGCCGAGCATGGGCTAAAGCATGCCATGCCTGTCGGACTTCAAAAATTACCCGACACGTGTCATCGCCACTACATACATTCTTACTACCTCGTGTCCGGTTCCAACATATTCACATAGACATAATTGGACCTCTTCCACAATCAGTAGGTTTCCGGTACTGTCTGACAGCGGTAGATAGATTCACACGGTGGCCAGAAGTAATTCCTTTAATAGACATTACTGCGGAATCCGTTGCAAAGGCCCTGCTACTAGGTTGGATTTCGCGATTTGGATGTCCTGTGGAAATAATAACTGAGAGTACGCGGAGTTCAGCGTACTGCGCGAGCGATACGCGGATTGGATGGTGATGCTTCACGAATCCATCATCACGCGGGGCGCTTACACATAGATGGCATAAGCGGTTTGGCGTAAAGCGGTGCCTCGGTGATACACGCACGATGCGCGTATCTCAGGCAGGCGTTAGTGAGAGTGTTCGCTCTTGAGTGCACCCAGTGCTGGACGATGACTATGAGCTGTTTCGCCTTCTATCGAATTTGACTAAGGAATCTTGTCTTGTTTTACCATCAAGCTATCTCGGAACATTCTTTGATGGGGATAGCTTGCGCATAACCGTAGGAATCGGACTAGGAGCGGTGATTTGTCAATCTCATCAGTGTCCTTGTGGTAAAAGACTTGACGAGCTTGGGCTCCACGGACTTTCATGTAAGAAAATTGCTAGTAGGTTGTCCCATCACGGTTCTTTAAACGACGTCATCTGAAGAGCCCCAAGCCCCAGCCCAGAGATGGGAACAGTATTCCATGTGCGGCCGAACCAGTGCCTTGTAAAGTTGCAGGCGATGTACTGGCATGAAACACTGTCCTGCTCTGCTGAGCACGCCAAGCTTTTTAAGAGGCCAATTTCGTCTTCTCTTCCAAGTGACCACAAAACTGCACATCACTCGATATGTCGACGCCGAGGATTCCGATACTGGCTGAGGCAACAAGGGGAGTGCCTTGAAACTGCGGAGATACGACTAAGGGTTTTTTTAGCGGTAAACGCGCAAACTTGTGTCTTCTGGAGATTAAACTGGACTAGAGTCGCCCCCAGTCCGAGACTTTGTTGAACAAAGTTTCGACTTCAGACACAAATTTATAATACACACACATACACACACACACACACACACACACACACACACACACACACACACACACAAACACACACACACATATAGATATATATATATACAGAATGGGGTCCCACATATATGCAATAAATGAAACCACAAGTAATACTAGTCCGTAGAAGTGTAGAAAAATTAAATATTAAATTAAAACCCGTAAAATAAAAAAGTGAAATTTTCAAAAAAAAATAAATATTAAAATAAATTCAGTAAAAGTGAACACTCTGTTTAGACAACGTACCTTGACCCCTTGGAAGAGTGACAACTGGCGATTGGTGGCATGGCGATTGTCGGCACGGCCTATGGTTCGTTGGACAATGTGCGACGAAATAAAAACTTACTCACTAAACTGTTTAGATATTTTACCGCCACTTTTTTATTTCGCGAAAATGGAACTGAACGAAATAAATATTATTGCATATTAGTAGCAAAATTTAATGAAACCCTAAATTTTAAAATTTTCAAAATGTCCGCCACGTTCTTGAAGTTACATCGCCGCATAATGTTGTCCTGAAGCCTGCTCAAAAAATTTCATTCAGAATCCAGAGCCAGGGCTTTTAATTTGTTAAAGGCGGCAACAATACGATTGCGCAGTTTATCTTCGGTTTCGGAGATCTTTGAGTACACTTCATTTTTAATAAAGCCCCATAAAAAGAAGTCTAGAGGAGTGAGATCGGGCGATCGAGCTGGCCTCCTGCGAGGGCCATAGCGCCCTATCCATTGTTCGCCGAACATGGTGTTAAGCCGCTCTCTCGCGAGGAGTACGGAGTGTGGAGGAGCTCCATCTAACTAGAACCATACCCTTTGGTAAGCTGCCACAGACAATCCTTCTAAATATTCTGTTATTGGTCCGTTAAGAATATTGAGAAATTTCTGTGCGTTCAGGTTTCCGTCAATAAAAATAGGGCCGATTATTTGATCTCCGTGAATGCCTGCCCAAATATTAATGGAAAATCGGTATTGAGGAGCTGATTCCCTAAATAAATGGGGATTCGTATGGCTCCAGTAACGCATAGATTGTCGGTTCCATATGCCGTTTCGAGTAAACG